GCTCCGATCGTGTGTGGAGCAGCTGGGCCGGGAGGGTCCCCCCTCCTTTGGACCCCCCCTCATGGCCCTGGCCCAGGAGGCCGCCAGGGGCTACCTCAGCGTGGTCCCGAACCCCCCGGACCTGTACTTGGAGAAGATCCTCTTCCACTTGCTCAGGAACGCCGTGAATTCCCGCTGGAGGACTGGGAATTCCTGCTGGGCTGTGGCTGAGCTGCTACGGGAGCGACTGCGAACCTACACCCCCCTCCAGGACCCCCCCAAAGACTTCACCACTGTCACCTACAACACCTTCTGTGTCCTCTGGAAAGGGGCAGCGGCCCTGGCAGGGCCTGACCGGCCTTGGGAAGAGGGAAGATCCCTGTTTTCTGCCCAGATCCGTGCCCTGCGCTTCCTGCTGCTGCTGGAGCGGGATGGGGGGTCTCTGCCCCCTCTGCAGCCCCCCTTCTTCACCTCCCAGACAGCCCAAAAGGCAGCAGCAGCCTCTGCCCTCTATGAGGCCGAGAGGGCTCCCTGCCCTGTGTTCCTGGCCCGGCAGCTCCGGGAATTCCTCCTGGAGACTCTCCGGGAGGAAGCCCCAAATCCTCCCGGGATCCAACACTCCCTGTGCTTCCTGGAGCTCACCCTGGAGTGCTCCAGGCACCTCTGCAGGGCTGGCAGGTTCCACGAGGCCCTGAAGGCCCTGGAGGAGGTCAAGGCATTCCTGGGGCGCTCCAAGGAGGATTTGGGGGCCCCCCTGGCGCTGCTGGAGGCTGGGATCCAGCTGGGAAAGGGGAGGTCCCCCCCAGGGCCCCTGCTGTCCCAGGCAGCTGCAGCGCTGAGGGGGGAGGGCTCAGAGAGGACCCTCAGGGTGCTGCTGGAGGGGGCCCGGTTTGTGACGGCCCAGCTCGGGGAGGTGACGAGGAGGAGTCGGGAGCTGCCCTTCGGCCTCGAGGACCTGCCCGGGCTCTGTGCCTTCACCGAGGGGCATTGCTGGGCCCTGCAGCGGCTGCTCGGCAGGGTGAGGGACTGGGGGGGCTGGGAGCGGGTCTGGGGGCAGCTATAGGGGGGTGTAACCCTGTTTTGGGGTTGGGGTTCACTTTGTGTGAACCCTCTGTGTCCCTCTCCGGTGTTCGTGTCAGCAGGAGCAGCTCCAGGAGCTCCTGAACCTCCAAATCCCACTTCCCTCCTTCCCTGCCCTTCCCAGGTCCATCCCAGCAGCTCCCAGAGATCTTGCAGCTCCTGATCCCCATTTTTCCCATTCCCAGGTCCTGGAGCTCCTGCCCTCCCTGAACCCTTCTTTCCCCCCCCAGGTGCCCCCCGATGCCCTCAAGCAGCAGGTGACGGTGAAGCAGCTCCTGTTCCGGAGCCTCCAGCTCTTCTCCAACACCATCCACGACACCTTCCAGGGCTCCCAGGTACCCCCAGGATGGACCCCCAGGACCCTTGGGGTTGGAAGGGGGGCTTCAGTGTCCCTGAGGATTTTCTCCCTTTGTTGATGGGATTGGAAAGGGGAGTTTGGGGTGCTCAGGATAAGACCCTTGGGGTGCTGGAAGCACCTTGGGGTTGGAAGAGGGGGCTGGAGGTGCCCTGAGAGGGTTCTGGAAGCTTCTCCCCTCCTTGGTGGGGTTGGAAGGGGGGGCTCAAGGTGCCCTGGGGGTGGTTCTTTGGGGGCTGTGGAGGTGACCCCTTTGCTGACCCCCCTGTCCCTTCAGCCCTCAGGGTGGCTGGGGCTGGCCCAGGTGAGCAGGAGCTGCACCCGGAGCGTGACCTGGATGGTGGAGGCTCTGGGGGGGCTCCCCGAGACCGACAGGGCCAAGTTCCTCGATGTCACCGGTCAGTGCCACCAAGGGGGAGCCCTTGTCCCTGTCCTGGGGGGCTGTCTCTGCACAGCTGGGAGGTCTCAGTCCCCTTATGGGTGGGGAGGGGGCTCTCTCAGTGACCTTGGGGGTCCCTCTCCCCACAGCCTCGTGCACCTTCAAGTTGGGCTTCGCCTTCCAGAGCCGGAACCTTCTGGAAGAGGCCGGAGCCATCTGCGAGCCCTTCTGCAGGGGGGTGGGGGAACTGGGGGGCTATGGCTGCCCTGACACCCCCCCAGAGAGGGTACGGGGGGCTGGGAATGGGGAGGGGGACAGTGGAGGGTTTGGTCCTGGAATAGCCCCTATTCCCAGCTCCGAGCAATTCCCTCGTCCTGGGTGGGACAGGATGGTCTGAGTGAAGGGAGAGAGGATGGGACCAGCTTTTCCTCCTGGAATAACCCCAAATCCCAGTCCTTCCTTTGTTCCAGGGTGGGAAGGGAGACATGAGATCATCCCAGTGAGGGGAGGAACTGAGAGGATAGGAATGGCTTAGCCTCTGGAACAGCCCCAATTCCCAGGTTCCCTTCTCCCAGGTGGGAACGGGATACAGGGATGATACTGGGATTCCTACCGGTGACGGGAGGACTGGAGAGGATGGGATCGGGTTTTCCTCCTGGAACAATCCCAGTTCCCACCTCCCAGCCCTTCCCTTGGCCCAGGGCAGGTTGAGGGGGATACAGAACCCCTGGAATTCCCTCCCCACGCACCTATTCTCTCCCTGTCCTCCCACAGCTCCACAAGTGTTTCCGGATGCAGGTGGAGAGCTGGAAGCGCCTGGGGCGGCCGGAGCAGGCTCTGGGCTCAGTGACCACGTGGCTCCTGGCCCTGGCCCAGCCTGGGGGGGTCCTGAGGGCCCAGCCCGGGGGGCTCCTGCACGAGCCTGTGGGACTCTGGGCCAGGATCAAATCGGAGGCAGCCAAACAGGGCCGGGAGGAGCTGCGGCTGCGGTGAGGGGGAACTGGGAGCGACTGTGGTGGGACTGGGAGCTGCTGGGAGGGACTGTGGTGGGGACTGGGAGCTGCTGGGAGTGTGGTGAGGCCCTGCAATGGATTTCCCAGAGGATACCCCATCCCTGGCAGTGTCCCCGGCCAGGCTGGAGCTGCCTGGCATAGTGGAAGTTCCCAAGGCAGAGGGTGGGATGGGATGAGCTTTAATGTCCCTCCCAACCCAACCCACTCCATGAATCCATGAAAACAACAGGATTTCTTCCCCCAGGACCCTCAGGGACTCCCTGGAAGGCCATTCCCTGGACAGGGCCACCCTGGTGTCCCTCCTGCTGGCCGAGCTCCAGGCTTACAAGTGCCTGAAGTGGGACACGGGGCCGGAGCGTTACAACGTCCTGTGTGACCTCCTGGAGCTCTGCCCCGAGGACCCCGGGGGGCTCCTCCCGAGGGCTCTGGGGCTCCTGGAGCTGGCCCAGGTCCTGTGCTACCACAGCTTCGCCCCCCACACTGACTGGTGGGTGCCCTGGGACCACCCCCACCCCAAATGCCCCCCCGAGAGTGGTGGAGGCACCGGAGGGTTTCGGGTTTGGGGTTTTGGGGAGAGGGTTGGTGGGTCTGGGTTGGGGGAGGGTGTTGGAGGGGGGGAAGGGCTTTTTTGGGACCCTGGTGGGGTGGGAAGAGCTTTTCCAGGACAGATGAGAAGGTTGGGAAGGGTTTTTTGGAACTCTGATGGATTGGGATGAGCTTTTCCAGGCCCATCTTGTTGAGTGTCCATCTGGGAACAGGTTTTTTGGGATCCTCTGTCCCTGTTTGAGGTCTCTCAGCCCCATGGTGTTTCTAGTGTTTCTTTGAGGTCCTGGGGTGTTTCCCTCCCTCTCCTGTGGATCTCCAGACGTTTTTGGGGCTGTTCCTGATTCTCCTGTGGAGTTCCAGGGATTTTGGGAGGGTTTCTTGACCCCTTTTCCCGGCAGCTCCGCACTGGATGCGACCCGGGAGGCCCTGAGGCTGCTGGAAAAGGTGCCCCAGAATTCCCAGAACCGAGATCAGCTCCTGGATGAGAAGGCCCAGGCCCTGCTCTGGCTCCACATCTGCACCCTTGAGGCCCATATGGAAAAGGTTTTGTGGATCAGGGGCTCGAAGAGGCTGTTTTTTCCCAGGATTTCAGAAAATCCCGGAGGTCTGGGTGTGTCCTGGACCCATCCAGAGCCTCCTGTGGTGTCCCAAATTCCCAGGGCATGGAGAGGGAGCAGAGGGGGAGGACCCAGGGCAGCAGGAACCTGGAGGAGTTTGAGCCCAACGACCTGAATGCCGAGGGAAGGGCAGGAGAGGAGCTGGATCCACAGGATGGGATCAGCTGCACCCTGGACACCGACAGGGGTGAGGGGGCTGGGGCTGGGGCACCAGGAGGGGTTTTCTGGGACCCTGGAGGGGTGGGAAGAGCTTTGCTTTTGGGAAGAGCCAGGTGTCAGCCTGGGAATCCTCCTTTTGGCCCTACCTGGCTCTGTCCAAGCTCTCTTATCCCCTTGGTGTCCCCTCAGCTCTGACCAAAAGCCTGGACGAAGCCTTTTCCCTATGGAAGCAGCTCCTGGAATCCCCTGGCATTCCTTGTGTTCGGAGCCTGGAACAAACCGTGACCTCCCTGCACCTCCTGGCCACCCTCTACAAGCTCCTGGCCAAGGTGAGACCCCCAGGACCACCGGGAGACCCCCCCAGGAGGTGGCTTTGGGGTGTAACCAGTGGATTTTGTGCTTCCCAGCCCATCCAAGCCCTGGAGAGTTTCCTGCTGCTCCGATCCTTGTGCCGGAACCTCAGTGACACTCCCGGCACTGCCTGGGCCTTGTCCCACCTCACCCGCCTGCTCCTGCAGCTGGAATGTCCCACCCATGCCCAGGTGAGCCTGGAACGACCCTCTGGAATGGTTCAGTTGATCCCTGAGGTCCTGGTGTTCATCCCAGTGTGGCATTCCCAGGTTTTCCTGGAGGAGCTGGAGTGTGTCCCACAGGAATTCCCAGCAGCTCCTCCAACATCCTGGGAATGACCAGGTCGGGATTTGGATAATCCCTGAGGTCCTGGTGTTCATCCCAGCGTGGCATTCTCAGGTTTTCCTGGAAGAGCTGGAGTCCATCCTGAGGGAATTCCCAGGTGGAGATGAATCCCAGCAGCTCCTGCAACATTCCTGCCTCCTGCTCCGGAGCCACCTGTGCTGTGTCAGCCAAAAAGTAAAGCCAAAAGGGCTCCTTTTTGCCCCAAAAGTTGTGGGAAGAGGGAGTTTGAGGGGTGCAGAGACCCCCCAAAAGTAGGACAGGAGGGAATTATGGATGTGGAGGACCCATGCAATCCCTGAATCCCGATTTTTCCTAGATGGAGGAGGGGCTGTCCCTGCTCCTGCAGGTTCTCCAGAGCCCCCTGGCCCAAAAGGCCACCAAGGGCTGGTACCTGCTCCAGGCCCAGGGG